TTTTATTATAATCGATATTCTATTTTGTATTGATATTAGTAGGTTCAAAATATTGAAGTAAGCACCCCTCTCAAGCAATAATACCGTAAGCGGCAATACTAGTAAGTGTAGGGTGTGATAAATATAAAATAATAATGAGTAGTCCGTAATAAACAGCACATATCTAGTTTGTTTTGTTCTCACAAAGTCAATATGTGCTTTACCATTTTATCTGACGGAGGAAAAAAGAGGATATTCACCATGTTCTGCATTGCAGTCTTCCCGCATTTCACTAGCTGGAAATATATATAAATAGGAAATGAAGAGCTCATTCATCCCGTCATGTATCACCAGTTACAAGTTGGCGAAACGCGATACATCTCGCTAAAATGTGGGCAACTCGCAGCACATTTGTGATTTTCTCCAAATTTAAAGTATTTCATCATACCGCATCAGAACGGATGGAGCAACTGGCCTTACCCTAACATACACGTCACGTATTTTGAATACCTGAGGCTTTGTTGTTGCTCGAGAAGATTAGAACAAGTAAACGCCCGTGATACGAAGTACATGATTGTCAATTTTAATGATTCAGATTGTGTTTTTTTTCTAATTAAATTTCTAATTAAGTTATGAACTTGAATCGGTTTGTCTTCATATTTCTCTTCCCTAATTTCCTTTCATAATTCCCCCAATAAGAGAACCTGGAGAAAAATTAAATTATTTTCATGTTCCCCTCGTAACAATGAACCTCTCGATCCAGGTAAGTTATCCAGTGTTTATTAAACTCCGTATCCAAGGCAATAACAAACAGTGACGTATTAATATATAAAACTAAATATAATATCCATATTTGCGATTACGCAGTCGGGTAATGTCTAAACGAAGGGAAATTTTAATTTCGAAAGGACAAAAAAGGGGATAATTTTAGAGTGAAAAAAGGAAATTCGAAGAAAGGTTTCTTACACCCAAAATAATGGTACACTCACAGAGCACAACTCACGAATTATCTTGAGCATATTGTCGGTTACAAGACCTAGTTGGGCCTCGCGGTTACCTCTGCATGTTATTTGGAAATAATACATTCTAAATGACTTACAGTTTGCGTCATTATCTTTCATCTGGAAATATGAATTGAAGATTGCATTATCGTTTCTTGTATTCTAAGTTCGAGCAAGGAGATCAAGCGTACATGGATGTGTGTAAAACACCAATTATCTTTCAATTTGAAAACACAATATTTATACACTGAAGAGACAAAAAACGGTACACCTGTCTACTATCGTGTAGGGCCCCTACGAGCACGTATAAATATCACAATACGACGAGGCATGGACTCGACTAATGTCTGAAGTAGTGCTGGAGGTAATTGTAACCGTGAATCCTGCAAGGCTGTCCGTACTCATAGGAGTACGAGAGAGTGGAGATATCTTCTGAACAGCACGTTGCAAGGTATCCAAGATTTGCTCAATGTTCATGTCTGGGGATTGTGGTAGCCAGTGGAAGTGTTTAAATTCAGATGAGTGTTCATGGAGCCACTATGTAGCGATCCTGGACTTGTGGGATGTCAAATTTTCCTGCTGGAATTGCCCAAGTTCGTCGGAATGCACAATGGGCATGAATGGGTGCAGGTGATCAGACATAATGCTTACGTCCGTGCCACCTGTCAGAGTCGTATCTAGACTATCAGGGGTCCCATATCACTCCAACTGAACACGCCCCCTGCCATCACAGAGCCTCTACCAGCTTGAACAATCCTCTGTTGACATGCAGGGTCTATGGATTCATGGAGGTTGTCGCCACCCTCGTACACGTCCATCCGTTCGAAACAATGTCAAACGATACTCGTCAGACCGTACAATATGTATCAGTCATTAACAGTCCATCGTTGGTGTTGACGGGCCTAGGCGAGGCGTAAAGCTTTGTGTCGTGCAGTCATCAAGGGTAGATGAGAGGGTCTTAGTCTCCGAAACCCCATATCGATCATGTTTCGTTGATTGGTTCGCACACTGAAACTTAATGACCCAGCATTGAAATCTGCAGCAATTTGCGAAAGGGTTGCACTTCTGTAATGAGTCTCCTCAGTCGTCGTGGTTCTGTTCTTTAACGATCTTTTTTCGGTCGCAGCGATGCCAGAGATTTGATGTTTTACCATATTCCCGATATTCATGGTACACTCGTGAAATGGTCGTACGGGAGAATCCAAATTTCATCTCTATCTCAGAGATGCTACGTTCCATCTTTCTTGCGCCGACTATAACACTACGTTCAAACTCACTTAAATCGAGATAACCTGCCATTGTAGCAGCACTAACCGATCAAACAACTATGCCAGACTCTGGTTGTCTTATAGTACAGTCGTTGACGACCGGAACGTCGTATTGTGAGTGGTTCCAGATCTCTTTATTTCAATACGCATGGCTGTACCGCAGTTGATAAGAGGGTTGATAACACATTTAGGGAACAATACCTTTCATTTGAACCAAAACTCAGAGGTTCACCCGCCTATGAATCCGCGCTGCTTCGAATTACTTAACTTCCGTGACTTCACGGAGCATAGTTAACCAATTCGGCTAACAATGTCCAATCACACACGCATTCTGTAATGAGAAAAGACATTGGAAAACTAGTTTATTTTCGTTGCTCTTTCATTCCAAAGTGGTTTGTCATTTATCCCGAATTAAATTTTTAATATGAGATTTCTCTGATGGCTTTCTGCTAGTTTATCAAAAATTGCAGTTGCTGCAATTTATAAACACACATACACACACACACACATATATATGTATATATATATACATATATACTATACATTATATATATATATATATAATATATAAAGTTTAATGCGCACCGCAGCACTTAAATAAACGACCCAATCCGACCCAGTAGATAACACCAAGGTCGACTGCGGGAGACCCTCTAAAATTCTCCCGCGCCCTAAGTTGTAAAATTTGAATTAAAAGCAAGCGCGCGAAGAATTAGAATGCATATTTCACTTTTATCTCACTTTTCTCTCTCTTTTATTCACTCTATATATTTTTATTTTGCACTTTCATCACCTAAGTGATTAATTATTTTACATAGAGTACAGTTCGCCTTCTTCCTGGCATATGCTTGTAACCGGTACTATTGTCCACACTGATTACTCGATAGTTTCCCGGGTCGCTTCGATCTTCTTAAAAATGGGGGTAACGTATGCAATCATCATGGATAGAGGAAGTCTTCCATTTTTCCAACACATGTTCAGGTATTGTAATGACCTTGTTTAAAGAAAAAGCTACTGGACTTAAATAGTTCTACATTCAACTTCTCCATTCTTGGTGCTTTTCTCTTCTTCATTTTTGTCGGAACCATTTCCATTTCATTTGTATTGAGCTCTTCTATATCTTGAAGTTTATTTAAATTTGGTATAAATCTCACCTTTCGAACTATATCCCAATTCTAAATAAAGTTATACTGTATCTTCAATTGAATTAATTATGTCCGTGTTTCGTTCTAGACTATTTAAGTTACGGAGAATCTTAGGCATGTTGTCCGTAATCATTTGAATAAGTTGTAAGTTCGTTCCCATTTAGCATTCAAAATTCTTGACCGTTCATGTTAAGGTTAGGTCTTTTGCTTCCTTCTCCCCGATACGGTTAAGTGTTACTGCTTCTAAAGTCGACAATATTTTAAATTTAGGGAAAATCACAAATTTGTTGCGCGGTTGCCTTTTTTAGCGAGATGTTTCACCTACATATCACTAGGCAAACGCGACTAGATAAATGAGCGTTTTACTTCTAATTTCTATATACTAACAGCTAGTGAAATCTAGGCATTATGTAATGCAGCATATGGCGAAGATCGTTTTTCTCTCGGCAGATGAAATGTTAAAGAAATGTATAAAAAACACAAAAAATGATAATTTACAAATTTTCAAACATATTAATATTTATTTAGGATAAGTTGACGGCTCCCAATACACATTATATTGCACAGTTCAAATTCCCCTGACAGTTGGATATAAAATGGAGGATTCGGTGACGCAAAGGAATGGACTACTCCCTATATCCAAGGACTCCAGAAACGGGTAAAATCAGAAGGTAGCCCTGTGCGTGAAGTAAAAGGGACGTCTGGCATTGTACTTCCTGTTTGCGTCAAACCCAACTGTTTGCTCATTTGTTCAAGATAGTGAAAATTAGGTCTGACTTCTCAAAAGTTGATCCTATTATGATTTTTAGGAAAATGTCCAATAGTTTGTTATTAGTGCATCATACGCATAAGCATGCACAACCTAGTTCAAGCCGACTACATTTCTGGGCTCCTTCCCATCACTTTTATATTTTCATATGACATACGTGTATTTGACTAGTTCAATTAGCACACTACGAGGAGAAGGAAATGACAACATGAATGATATACAATTAATAAATTCAGTTGATTAGATGTTGAACTATTTAAATAATCGCAGATAGCTTGGGGATTCACTTGTACAAAAGCACAAATCCCCCAATTGTCAGGTCAAAATGAGAGACATCAGTGATTGAATATATTTAAGTAAATAAAACATTTTATTACTAAACGTCTACGGGAACCCTTTCAAAATTTTCAGGGAACCCACAGCCTCTCTGCCCCTATCCTGTTGTATGCCTATGACTATTATCATAGGATTGTACTTTTAAACTGTTATGTGCATAAAACAAGCATACATTTATTGTATAACATTAAATATTGTTTCAATGTAAGTAAGATGTATGTAAGATACCACATTTTAATTTATAGGCAACCATTTTTATTGTTTCTAAAGATGCTGTACTTTTCGAATTGTGGACATCCTCGTAAACAATAGGCCGAATTATTGAATGATTACTGAGGTTTTTTTCTTAGAAAAGTTATTTTTATGAAGAAATAGCTCTTACCTTGACAAATCACTGAATATATCAGTATTATTCGTTGACATTCCTAAAAAGTCCTTAAGAAACAGCGTGCTTCCAAAGCATATTAGAGAGTCAGTTGTTTCCAGTGTATTAACAGATACCTTTATCTGCATCAAAAATAAAATATTAAAAAATGTGACTTTCACTCATCTGAATGAACATTAAATTATTTAGTACTCATATTTTATACTTACAAAATTTCTTTTTGGGACAGTGGGTGGCCTTGTTTTTTCTAATAGGCGTATCTCTTTTCCAGTCAGCATTATTTTATTGATATACTTTTCTACTTTCAAAACAACCATGCTTCCACCTAAAACAATTAATGGATTTTACAATTTTGTACTGTCTCGTACTTATTCTCATTTCTGGGTCAGAAAAACTCTTATTGCTGGGCCCTGATAACAAAAAAAGAATAAGTATTGTTCCTAAACATAATTACTTCCTCTAACACATTGTGTATTCAGAAGTAATGTTTTGTGAAAAGTCGATGGACAGCAAAACGTCTGTCCGTTGATCTGTCTGTAGAAACGCCAAAACTACTCAGCCTCTTTCCCCAAAATTGATATATCTCCATAGATTTAAAAAAACTGGAGGTTCTCAGAGTTTGAAATAGATAATTTGGTTTTGAAGAGTACGTTACACGAAGCGTCAAATTTTCACAAAAACAACTCCACGTTCTTTTCTTTATCTTTATGTGTACCAAATGACTGTTTTGAAAGAGATGCTAGTCCCAGTTTCGGCAATCTCTGTATTTACGAAAATTGCAAAAGATAACATTGCAAAATTGAAATATTAAAGATAGATTTTTTTGTCTTAAATACAAAACGTTTTAAAAAATCAGATATTTTAAAAGGTCTTGTACATTTTTTTGAAAAAACTAGTTGTTTCCCGAAATTTCTGCCCGAGTTAATTCAAATTATTAAAAAAACATTTCTCCAAACAGCTCCAATTTTTTTCTTTAATTTTTGTCCACAGACCGAATAAGTGACGCTTAAAAGAATGGAACAGATTTCATTTCCGTTCAACTCTGCAAATTTTCGAAAATTGTCAATTTAGAAATAATGCGATTAAGTATGTGCTGCAGTGTCACTCTTTTTTCGGCATTACAATTGAAAATAGCCAATTACCTTTATTATCTTAATTTTTTGTAAAACAGTAGAACTCCGGTAATCCGAACTAATTGGGGATGTGGTCTGTTCGGATTCGGAAATGTTCGGATTATTCGAAAAAATGCACCGTACATATGTAAATACATAATCAGGTTACCAAACAATGCAACGTTGCGTGCAATGTGAGAAAATAGCAACGTAGCGTTGCAATCGCATCATCAAGCAGATTCAGTTCCTTACAACAAAAGAAAGTTACTGATTTTGCAAGTTCCTGTAAGTAAAAATTACTGCTACGTATATGGTAGTTACCAGTGGAATAAACATTTCATTTCGACAACTTATGTTTCAATAACTAGTTGTTCACTTCTACAGTTCACTTCTACATTATAAAATCCTTTCTTTTCGCTACAAATAAGTATTTAATTAATTTTCCACCATCCCTAATTTTTTCGGATTATCCAAAATTTCGGATATGCTGGGGTCTATTTAGCAAGGTTGTATTGTATTTTTATTTTATTACTGATTACCGGGAACTGCCCGGATATTTCTCACAGTCGTCTATTTAGCAGCCTTGTCCGCTTCACCAGTGTTGGCCACGGCTGGCCAAATTAATTCAAATTTGGCGCTACGCTTCCCAGCACATTAATAACCTCCGTGACCCTCCGACTATCTGAGACGTGGCAAGAAGCAGAAAATATGGATGACGTGAAATTCGTAAGAAGAACGTTTATTTTCGTCCAGGCAGAGGTAACCATGACAATATCTTCAATACTTATTAATTCTTACGGCAAAGTAATAACCTTTGTCAATTATGTGTCGTTTTTTCAGAATTTTATCGTCTGATGAGAACACAAAAGGCGATGCACAAAACTTCTCACTTCGTAGTTTCTGCAATTGCTCTCCCAATCGTCTAAGCAATATTTCGCAGCCTCAACAGCCAGTCTCTGGCCCGCCATGTCCACCTTACCAAAACCTCCCGCCCCACCCATCCTGCAGCCCCTTCCGCTCTATGTGTTCCTGCCGCTTTTTTCGTCACGTCCATTCCTCCTCTTTCGCTCCACCTCCGTCCGCTGCGCCGCTCGTCCGTCTTCTTTCGCTCCTCCGCTCCTATCGCTCCTCTCACTTATTCCCTTCCGTTTGCTCCTTCCGCCCCTCCCGACCTGCCAGCTCTGCCCGCTCTGTCCGGACTTTCTCGGCCACGTCCGGTGTCAGACGGCCACGCGTACCAACAAATAAGCCCAGGTGGATTGGGGATTGCATTTCACTGAATATTAAATAACATTTTTTGGTAACGATTTTTAATCGCAACTACGCTATTTCTCATTCCTGACCCCTCAAAAGTATTCGTGCGAAATTTTGGAGGAATCACTTCAAAGGTTGTAAACTTTTTGTGGCACTCACAAACATAAGCACTTACTTTTATGTATCAGGAGCACGAAACTGAGCATTGAAGTGAAGGGATAGATTATCCCAGTCAAACAAAAACTAAGTTGGTCCCATAGGTAATGTATAACTTTTTTTAAATTTCATGTTGATACATTAATTAGTTTTTGGGTTTAATAGGTTTATACAGACGTGCTTCACAAATGATTTGACGTGGGATAACTTTTAGTAATCGAATAAGTAAGTCGAAAAGGTATTTAAAAGTTGAATATTCTAAAATCACAAAAGTCACTTCAGATATTTCTGAAATGATAGTTATATTTATATTTAGCTTACACTACAATATAATACAAATTATTAATATACTGTGTAGTATACTCTTTAAAAATATTACATTCTTCTTTTCCTTTCTGAATTAACCATGTACGAGTAATACTTTTCTCTTATTTTCTTTCACAACGTTGTTTTTTAAAGAGTTTTCAGTATTGATACTCACTAAAAATCTCAGGTCGTCCTGGACTGGCAGCATAGCATATCATTTTCAGAATTGTTTCTATCTCCTTCAGCAATGCCTGGATACCTTTCATTATTGTGTTAGGGTTCGAACTTCTTATCATTAATTCATACATGTTTAAAACATTATCCACCTGTTAAATAAAATTATTTTAAAACTGGAAACTTCAGCTCCTTTGTAATAGTGTCTTTATATTATTTTTCTTACATATTTTTTTACAGTTTTCATCTTAATTAATAATGAATTAGGCGCATTTCTTTTTTGTCGCTCTTTCTTCCCCCATACGCTTCGTTTCAAGCGATATGCTGCTCCATGGACTGCAAAGATATTAAAGCTTAAATCAGTGCCAAAAATTTTGAAAAATAATTACCTAAGATAAATTGCAATAAGAAATTACATTTCATATTTATGTAATGATTTTTTCTATAATGTATCATGATTACAGCAAGATATTTGAATATCCTTTGAGTATTTATTTACTAGTATATACTTATGATTTTATGTGGAATACTTACTGCTATTATTGATCACATTAACAATATCGTCCTTGAATTCAAACAATTCTTGAAGAATGTGGTTTGACATTGGTAGTTCCCTTATTGCTGTGAGAGCCATGTTTGTGAAATCCAAACTATCTTGTATTGTGCTTGGGTTATCTTTAAGCCTTCAAAGAAGAGATATTATTGTTAGTTAATGATATTACTTTCGCTTTTATTTTGACTGTTGGTTCTTAATGCTTATAAGAAGTTAACGTATTGAGCATTTGTCTGTGTCACAATGAAAATTACAAATTCATTAGAGACCAATGCTTCATTCTCTTTCAGCATCCTGCTGTTTACAATGGAGCACTTTTGGATTCTTTTTCCATTTTTTTCATTCGTACTTATTGAGATATTACGAGTACACAAATTTTGACATGATGAGAAGCCCTGGACGAAAATGACGGAAAATAAATATCGTAATTATCGTAGTTATGCCGCAAGCCGGCACTCAGAATTGCAGAGCACTTGTTCACAAATGACGCTAAGGACTTCCCGAGACTATACCAGTGATACAAGTCTTGGAAAAGTGCATAAAGAGTGTATACAGACTGCGAGGAAATCCAAATTAGTGGTGCTACAATAGTAAAAACAAGTGTTTTTCAAAAATGGCTTCAAATGTTTCAACGAAAGTCTGCTAATAGGACTAAGTCATATTCAGGTATAATATTCGAAAGCCATATTTTAATTCAAACATTATGAGGGCCTAAAAATAGCGAACATGTGAAAATATATCATTGAGGTGACAATAGACGACAGCTGACTTTGGAGATGGGGCAAAAGCTAGAAAGGTAAAAGGTGGATAAGCTAGTCCAGAATAAAGAGAATAGAAAACTAACTAGTACGAGAACGTCTTCGCCTTTCTGTAGCACCTCTAGTAACTGTATTTCATTTGGTTCTCTCTAACATATTCTGTACTCGATTACAGACGAGCTAGGTGAATTTATTATGTTATTTTTATATAAGTTCGGGAATAAAAGTTCATGCAATATATGTTATTCCGATATAGGATCATTATAAAAAGTTTCAAGCGATAACACTCGTTTGAGGTAACACGCTACGCTAGTTTATAATACTTCAATTTTAGGGCTCACCTTTCTCTCCGTATTCTTAGTTCTTCCACTAGCAAACTTTCTACCTGTTGCAAAGCTTTGTTATACAGGATATCATCATTCATTTTCTTCAAAGTTTGTAATGATACTTTAATTAATGAAAGAGCTTCTGTATATTGTCCTGATGTCATATAATTTGCCAGCATTTTCATTATTGTTCTGGAAGAAATTGTTGACTTTTAGAATCAAGTAACAGTAGGTTTCACAAATAATTGTTCTTATATCTGACTTCTAAAATCTGTATGAACGTACGATTATCTTGTCTGAGTGTTGAATGTGTCATACTACTGAAAGCATGAATAAAGGTTTTAGATTTTGAAATAACGTAAATGTTTTAAACCAAACGTTCTATGATGCTGGCCTTCCAAGAATTCAGTTTATAGACTAATATTATTTTCATTGTACAATACTGAAAATTCACTGATTACAAAATAAAATGTTAACATTTAAATCCGCATATATTGCCTTTACATATCACCTAGTTTCATTATGTTTTCATAATTATGTTTTCAATCATTATGTTTAATTTTACTACAATTTAGTTTTACTACAATTTAATTTTACTTACTCAACTTCTTCAGAGGTAAGCTGATTAGGAGCGGTTGTTTTTACTTTTGGCCCCTCAGATATTGTACATAGTTTGTGAGAATCACATACTTGAAGGATTGGTGTAATAAATGTCTCTGTTCGAGACTCCACATCTCCTAAAAGAAAGTCTTAATTTAATCGCACTGATTTTTATGTAGCATGGTAATATAAGCCCAGTAATATGGAAAGAAAACAGTGTAAAATATTCAAATAGTCAATAGATTATTGATAATGAAGTATTAAAATTTTAAATGTGCCTGGAAATAAAACATGAATTAAGTGGAGCATCCTTTAACGGCAAAACTTCAAAATGGATTTCCCGATTACGGTACATCACTTTAGCTCCGCTATGAGTAGCTGGTCAGCGTGCTCTCTTTCGATGACGCGATCCTGGGTTCTATTTCGGGACAGATTATTCTGTGCGTCTTCCTTAGAATTTCCCAGTATCTCCTGCTGTGTGACGATGAGAAAGCTCACTTCTGGCATAGAAAAGACCAGAATACGGCGTAGGGATGTCTATGTGCTAACCACACGTTCCCCTTAATCCATGGCCGCAAGGACGGGACGCCGCTAGTAGGCATGGCCCCGTCAGAGGCTGTTGTGCCAGAACAGATAGGCAGACAGACATTACTTTAGCTGGCCCATTGCGCTTGGGCAGAGGAGAGAATATAAGATGGAAGGCGAAAGACAGCAATCCATGAAGAAATGCGTTAGTGAGAAGTTATCCGAGAGTTATTTGGGGTGTGACACCGTTTTTCTACTGTCTGTAAAAGGAATGGATTTCCAAAGTTTTATTGTCGAATTTTGAAATGTCCTACACACCAGGGACGATGTGGACATAGAGAATGCATCAAGAAACAGGTCGTTGGCACTTCTATTCTTGAGTATTTTTACTTTCTTCATACATACGTACATACGTTGTATAGGGAAAGTTACATACGTAGTAATGCTGTGAAAATCGATTTCGAGATTTTCATGGAAATACACGTTTTGGGGTCCCCCTGGTATTAAAAAGTGTTGTTTTTTTCAAAACGTTCCGTTTGTCTGGTGAATGTGAACAGCACTAGCGCCTAAACCATACATAGGATCTTTTTCTAAATTGAAGACACCCCTTTCCATCTGGTTCGATTCAAAGCTTTGAGATTTTGAAAAACATTCTTCAAAATTTGGAGGAATTTTACATGAAGTTCGGATATTTTCAAAATTTTCTCAAAAACGGCTCCAAATGTTTTTTTTATTTCTTGTAAAAATAGAGTAACATACACTTATTAAAGTTGCATAGATCCAATTTTCACGGTTAACTGAATTTCCGAAAATTGCAAAAGTATGAATTTTTTCTTTGTCTTCCTAAACAACAAAATTAAATATAGTTTTCCTTCAAATACAATGTACAGTTTCCTTCAAATACATGTTCCCCTTTCGCCTTTCGAGCGGTGTGACTAGTGAATTTGCAAACCAGGAATTGTTCAGTGTCGATTTTACCTGAATAAGAGACGCAGTATGTAAACCTCCTTAATCTACGTTAATTTTTAATCAATTGCCTCAAGATATTTGTACAAATAATTCATTCAGTAATAATCATCTTTCATTAGTAACCTTGGTGTTCAAAGCTGACGGCGAAAAATTTACTTTGTGCAGAGAATAGTCTATTCAGTCCGCTACCACAATCTCTCCCTCCCTTCCACGGTCAATACCCCCCTCTCTGTATACTCTTTGCCTATGTTACGTTCACAGTTATCACCGAATATTCGCTTGGGGGTTTGACATGTAAATATAGCTGCACCATTCTCTATTTCCACAAAAAAGAACAGTTCTTTGCAATCCTTTCTTAAGATCTCAATGTGTACCAAAATCTGAAATCCTTGAAAGGTTTGGGTTGAACCATTCAAAAGCAGTAAATGAGAAATAATGTCAAAGCATGATAAGAAAAAATAAGATGACCAGCTTCATCTCCTTCTTCTCCTTCTTCTTAGGGCGCAACAGTCCATAAGTGAACTTGGGCCTCCTTCAGGATTTCGTTCTATGTGTCTCTTGCCCGTGCCTTACTCATCCAATTTTTCACTCCTATGCGTTTCAGATCTTCCTCAACACCATCCAGCCATCTAAGGTGGTGGTCGTCCGACTCTGCGGGAGCCAAAAGGTCACGTTAAAGGCCTTTCTTTACACACAGTTGATTACGGCAAGCGACAGATATGGCCAAGCCACCTTAGTCTAGCCAGTTTGATTTCTTTCACAATATTGTTGAGATTGTACTTAATATGCAAATATTGCGAATACTGATCCCAATACTGAGCAAGTCCGTGCCCTAATTTTGAGTAACCAATGAGTGACGATTGTTGAAGTGGCAAACCATATGTAGGTTAGTTACGTTCTGCATGTAAGAACGCCGAGATGGGTTGTCGAAAGACGTTCTTTTGTTGCAAGACAACGCGCATCAACATGCCACCATCCAAGCTCTTCAAAATCCGTATTTCGAGATAACAGATCATCATGGTTACAGGTCTGATGTTGTCACCTCCAATTACCATCCGACTGGCCCCCTTAAAGATGCTTTAAAAAGCCGAAGAGTTCCCTCCGACCTACATATAAGGACGCTATTCATATTCGTACATTGACTTGCTTCTCAATCGAAAATCATATTTTTCGAGGGTATTGGAATATGATGCAACGATGGATCAAGAAAATTAAAAAGCACAGTGCCTGTGTTGAAAAATTGTCTCACTGCAATTTTTCTTCTGTTGTAATCAATTATAAACACTGAGTGCAAATACTTATTGACTTACCCTCGTACAAAACTGTACGAGTACTCATGTAAAACTCTTGGGTTTTTGAAGATGGATCAAGTATTAAATGACGTTAGCAGTAAAGTTAGAAATACATTTACCTCCGGGAAGAAGAGTATAAGCTTTTAAATCTTCATTTGAGGAACTAAAAATGTTGGTTTCTTCATCAGAAACTCGATAACCAAAATTGTATTGGAGAGGCATATCTGACACGCTGTCATAAGCTTCGTCTGTACTAAACTCGAACTGAGTACGAAGAGCCTCGCCATGATCCGGAACAACCTGGCGAGAAAAAAGTTATCTATGACTTCATATTTTATTATTCTTTAAGTGTTTACTTACAATTATTTTAACATTTCGATAGTTCTTACCGATATTTTGTCAAACTCTGTGATTTCGAGGATATAGAGAAAGAAATAATCTTTTACATTCTAAATATTAAATAATAATTAAGTTTCAAAAAACCTTCAGTCAGACTTGTTTCAGGGATATTTTCCCATCATAAACGATTTTATAGCATAATTCAAGTAACGTAGAACAACTTATATATTTAAAACCAGTATAGTATGTTAATACATTCACCCAAATGAGATCTCACTTTCCCCCAGACAGTACGGATATAGTAACTGAGACCATGAGGAAAAACCACGGACAACAACCGATCACAGCAACCGGCCGTTGGAGTTCTCAAGACAGCGACTGAACCGACCTAGCTGACACGCTAGTGCCGAAAACCTTGCCACCATTGGGACTCGAACTTATGACTTCCCGGTCAGAGGCACTGCATTGACATCAGTTGATGCCCTGAGCCACCTCTCCCGGTGGGTCGGATGGACGTTGGGCAGAGTTGGAGAGTGGAGTGGAGAGGGGCAGAGCGAGGCGAGGCGAAGAGGGGCCAGGGAGACCTAGTTGGAGAGGGGCGAAGCGGGGCGGACCGGACGGGGCGCCGCAGAGCGGGCCGGATCGGTGCGGGTCGGTGCGGATCGGTGCGGATCGGCTGGCGATCGGTGCGCGATCGTGCGTGCGGTGCGGATCGGTGCGGATCGGTTGCGGATTCGGTGCGCGATCCGTGCGGATCGATACGAATCGGTGTGTTATCTGTGCGTGTGCGCGTGCGGATCGGCGCAGATCGGCGTGGATCGGAGTGGATCGGTGCGGGTCGGTGCGTGGACTGGTAGGAGAGGAGGGAGGCGGTGGAGCGGAGCAGGAATGGCGACGATTTAAATATAATTATTGAAAACCTCCCCTACAATGCATAAGTAGAACGCTAGTAAGCTATGCTGAAATTCTCTAAAAAATTACTTCATACCATCATGGTATCAGAACTGAATGTGATGACTCATAAGCTTACCTGCAATGGTTTAGTTACAGGTGGTGTGTTAGTTTCTATAATAACATCTGCATATCCCGCAACCTGCTTCATATTGTTTCCTTCTAGAGGACAAGTAGCAGTCAATCGTAGTTTATATTTTGTGTCACCTAGAAGACCTGGCCAAGAGCCAGTGTGTCCCGGAATAAAAAGAGGAAGTTCTCTGAAAAATGTGAGCGCAAAGAAATCACATATTTAGAACATATTAAGTTTTAATATATTAATATTTCTAAATATAACATTAAGTTATCAAGCTAATTTGAATGACTGAGAAAATATGATTGAATAGTGCTATTCCTAAACCATTTATTAAGATACGCACTTTAAAGTTTGAACTTGAAATTACCCTTATCATTGTTAGACAGTGACAAATTTCATTGATTTGTAAGGTTTGGAAGATTTTTAATATTGTAATTTTAGTTTGAAAGTTTTAAATATGAATAAAAACATGCATTGAAATTTTTTCTTAATGTTACAACAAAATTTTAGTACTTGAGACTATTAAGTGATAATGTTGCACTACTATGAAGCTTTGATCCACTTATATTCTTAGAATCTAAGAATATGAACTGTGTTGTGTCTGTAAAAATATTTCTCAAAAATCGCACCTGGGTTGTCCCGAATTTCCCTCTTCCTCCGTGATCTTCACAACATCCCCAAGTCCTACACTTCCTTGGAGATCAAAGTACTGAAATCCAGTCTCTTGCACTACTTCCCACCAAATATGGCATCCAGGTTTAATGTCTGTAACTTCTGCTTGAATAGTGACTCCTTCACTGGGGTCAACAATTCGATGTTTTACATCCGGAGTTACATTCACCATTGGTGGTGAACCTGGCACAACAATTACTTTTGTCCATGCTGAGCCTGTGTCATTTTCATCCTTGTACACATGGACAGTGAAATTGTATCTGATAAAATAAAGATGTGTTCAAATTAACCCATTTGTAAAATTATCACTAATATCACATGTTTTATTCCCCTGTCTGTAAGATAGAGCTGCATCACTTTGAATACATCTTTTTTATTAAATTGAAGCTAGGCAATACGTGTGATTTCAGTTATCAGGTCTATTTAATGTATATCAACAATAAATTTGCAATCTTAATGAACTCCATTGCTGACAATATTGTTTCATTATCATTATTACCACCAACATTGTCATTTTTATTGCCATCATCATCATCATAGTGGGTCTCATTCATCTCATTGTGACCATTAGCAGTTTTAATTTTTTGATAGGCATAGAATACTAGACGGAATGTGTGATCAGAAGCATGCTTTAAAATACAAACCTCAAGAAATAGTGAGTACATTAGTGTATTTTCAGAAAATTGTTTGGTTTGTAATCATTGTTATCTATTGGTATACTTACTCCCCTATAGGTAAAGATCTGGGAGGAATAATCAATTTGCTGCTTTTGAATTCTGAGCTGTATTTATCCTGAAGATTTTGAGAATTCCCTGGTCCAGGTAATGTACAGTGTTTCCCACTGGTTGTATAACAGCACCACTGAAACTGTAAAAATATTTTCTTCTATACTTATTAATATATAGTTATGTCTAAAAGAAACCTGTAAAAGCAAAGTTGGGGGGGGGGGGAGTTAATTTTGAACGAGAATGATGAAATTTGACTTTTAATAAAAATAGTTCATTACATATATCATGTTATGAAGGAAATGCCAATAAAAAGGGTTTCAAAAATACATGGACTTCTCTTACATACCTAAATTATTATTATTTTATTTTTATTTTTAATTCTCTCCAAATTTGCTTGTATTTTTTAATAATACTTTGAACACATTTCCAATTCCAACTATTTCCATTTCTAATTTACTTCATTTGTTACTCTAGCTGAAGCATCCAGAATTGCCCTGGCATAGTTTTCACAATCATCTATTTGGCAAGAAAAGGAATGAATTCTGTGTGCACAGTATCCGCACCATGTTCCAATGCATCTCACCCTGCTAGGACCCTTCCCACCCTGCCTCACCCTGCCCCACCCTCCCTCACACTTCCACTCCCTGTTATACCTTGCCTCACCTCACCTTGCTATGCCCTGCCCCGCCTCAATGACGTCCTCTCCAGCCCTCCCCTGCCCCAACCCAACCACATCCTAACTTGGGCTGTTCTCTAACTCACTCTGCTCCCTCCTGTCCTGTTGTTTACTATGATCATTATTGTAGAGATAGGTTGCAAATATTAATGTAGCTGTAAATATTAGTCCAGCCTACACTATATTCTGGGGTGTGTAGTGGACATAGCCCAAAAGAGCATTCGACTAGAAGAGTTGCAACCATGCTTTGTTTGTAATTTTGTTCTTGCATAATTTTAATTCTTAATCTATTTTTTTTTTATCATACCCAATGATGAAAAGGCCAAACAACTGAATGTTTACAGTTTCTTTTTATTAACAACTTGCCTGGTAGAAATTTCCAACGAAAATACTTTTAAAACTATTTAAAGCATCAACAACACTACATTCAGCTAGTATGTAGAATTCTTTCAATCTTCTGAGAAAGCAGTGTTTTTCAAAATGTTAACCACTGTCCTGATTTATTAAAGACATCCAGGGGTGTCCACAGGAATAAAGAGGCATGGGGCCATATATCCAAGGAAACCTCTTATTTCAAACCGAATTTCTCTGAACTCCCACTACATAAACAGAATTAATTTCTCCAAGCATTATAAATAACTTAAAACTGTTAATTTGAATTATAAGTAAATCCATTTCTTTTATTTGCTTTGGAAATGAAAAACAATTTGGGGCCCCAATTAAGTCAGGGCATTGATCCAGCTGCCCTCCATTTTGAGTATCCATATACGCTGCACCATGGTTCAGTCTACTTGCCACATTTAAATTCTTAAAATGTTCTTATCAAATGTGCAGACAGCCTGCAAGATCTTTGGGTTCTGTTTCTACCACAGAAAAATCGTGGTCATGACCAAAAATCGGATGTATGAGTGCTTGTAGTGTATAGCGATTTCAAGAGCCAAGTTCTGTAAATTCTAAAATGGATAATTTTTTTGTAAAACGACAAGAGAGGCAATTGGAAAGGGTGCTAGACTAACGATAATATATATTTTTTCATAGTCATTGAAATAATGACTCCTGAAAACAAATATTTTTCCAAACAATTGCAAAGAGAAGAAATTTAGAAGATATTGAAGTAAAACTGAAGCTGAAGTAGTTTTTTTATAGTAGGTTGATCCTTAATCATTTTACAATACTCTGAAAGTAAATTACTATTTGCTAATGGAAACATGAATCTCATTGGTAAAATTACAATGCAGGTATATTTTTCATTTTTAAGAATTATTAATTTCATTTTAATTCTCAATATTTCAAAAGTAGAGTAATTTTCTGTAGGTGTTACTATCATGTGAATTGTGAATGAAAATAATATTTGTTAAATTACTATAATTCTGATTACAACTGTTATTTCTTAGATATTATTTTAATACCAATATTTCAGAGTTTTAAACTTTTCTTACCTTTATATCACCTTTTTTTTTGTTTGGATCATCTGAAGCTGAGGCATCCAAATACAAACTTTGACCAGTCCCAAGTGTCTGCTCACTAGTTGCTAATATTGCAGTTATGCCTCGTTGAATTGCTTCAATTGTTAAGCTGCTCTGTGAATTTACAAATGGAAACAGTGTACAGAAATTGAGAAAGGGAAGATACATCTCTTTATGAATGGATATTTTTATTGATTATTTTATTTGTGATATTTAAAAGAGGACAAAATTCTGAAAACAAAAGAATAATTTTATTTGTGGTACTAAACTTACTCTAACAGATTTATTTAGTGCAATATGGATTTTGAGTAGAATTTCCTCATTTTAAGTAATTTGGAAATTCACTTATGAAATTAGAGAAACATTGTCAAAGTATTCACACAAACACTATATATGGGGTCAAAGCAATAAGAATTTGGTGGCACACAATGACATTCGTGTGTCAAACAAAATCATGTTACATAAGAATATCAAAATTTAAAATAATATAATGATCGCAAATAATTTTACAGTACCATGAATATCTCTCCTTCAATTCACTTATTTTACCCAAGAATTGAAGGTCATGGAATAACAAAAATACATTCTGTTCGTTATGATAATTGAGGGAATAATTACTTCTGATTTTGTATTAATACTAGAATTTAAAAATATTTAATTAAACAAATTAGTAAGTTACAAAAACATTAATAAAAATTGCACTTACATTTCCCAATATTGAAGAATCCGGTTCAGAACTTTTGACTACACAACTCAAAACATACTTCTTCCCTGCAATTAGAGTACCAGCTGGCAGATGAAACCGCTTTCCTCTTTGTAAATCAGTATCTATTTCTACATTATCTGTGATGCTCCATTCATACTGAAAGAAAGAGAATATATATTTTTTAACATTAGCCAAGAGGAATTTTGGAGATTGAAATCTTTAGGAATTTTTCTTAACTCTTCAAATGGTTGATTATGAACAATATCGAGGGACAATATCAATTCAGACCGAATCCTGAAGTGGAAGTGGGTAACCCATTACACAAGACTTTGGAATAGTGACAGATTACCAAGTATAAGCAGAAATGATTCTGAAATTAGTGAACAAAGAAGAGTACAGGAAATAACTATAGAAGAACTAGAAGCAGTATTAAAGAAAAACAATGTGTGGATGAAACCCCAAAATAGGTATAGTGATAAATTTACACAAGAAATTATCAAAAACAGATTGCAACAACTATAGAGGGATCACTCTCCTGTCTACAGTATCAAAACATTTTGTTAATATCATAAGAAATAGATTAAATGAATATAGCAAAACATTTCTGGGAGAAGAACAAAATGGATTTAGAAAGGGCAGAAAGATGCTATTTTTACTCTACAGACAATCCTGGACAAATAAAATGAAGTATATCTTCCAACTTTCCTCTTTATAGACTTTGAAAAAGCCTAAAGTAGGGTGAACAGAAACATAATGTGAGAAATACTGGAAGATGAAGAGATACCTACATACATAATAAAAGGAATTTAGAGTCTGTATACAGTCAGTCATTAAAGTAAGATTGAATGAGCAATACAGAGACTTTTAGAACAACCAGAGGACTGAGACAGGGATGTGGGCTATCACCATGCCTGTTTAACATTTATGCAAACCACATGATCAAAAACCAGTATAAATTTAAACAAAAGACAAATGGTCCAAATGATTCACTACGCAGATGACATGATCCTAACAATGGAATCAGATGACCTACAGATGGCAGCAAATGAACTTCATTTATTCCATATAAAAATCCCCCTTTTTTAATCTGACTTTTTAGAATATATTTCATTTAAAACAAAAATCACCATAATCAATACCATACTTTTGTAATGTTAACTTCTTTGCAATTTTCAATAATACAGAGAGTTTGCAAAAGATATGGGACCAGCACCAGTTTTTATACCACCCTTTGATACTTATTGAGGAGGAAATTTTAAGGAAAAATTTGGATCTGTTTTAGAGGCAAAAAATGCTTAAAAATTCTAAGTAAAAAGTAACTCCACCACCACCCCCATCAGTGATTTTGCATGTATTTCATGATGAAATACCTTCACTGTAGTGGCAGTAAAACGGAATATAGATTTATGGATAGTTGTTTGATTTCTTTGTACTTGCGGGATAAAAATGAAAAAACGTACAATTTTTTAAATTTTCAATTAAGGATAATTGCATTTTATCAATAAATACTAGAACGGGCAACATTTAGGCATTTAAACACAAAGTAGGCATTTATAGGCACTATAAAATTTGCATATAATGCTCCTAAGCAAAAATCTGCAGTTTAGTAATCAGTAAGAAAATAAGCTTTGTGCTTTTCTGAGAAATGAAAGGATTGGCTCCAATTCCTGGTGTTAAGAGATTAACAGGGTATTGAGTCACACCCTACGACTATGCAATAAGTGGTTGACCATTATTTATGAGTAGAGCCTGAAAGTTCACGTATTTATTTTACCTAAAATAGGTAAGCAAAAAGGCATTTATTTTCATTAAAATAGGCTGGAAAAAGGCATTTATTCTGGCTGATATAGGGGTGTAAAGGCACAAGAAATATTGAAAAATCATAATTTAAAAGTAATTAATGCAAACAATTAATAATCAAATGATTCACATATTTATTCTACTCTAAAATATACATTAGCACTAATACGGAAGGACACTAACTTTTCTTTGTAATCTTAATTGCACTTGTCCATCCAGTTGACGATTACGAATGTATTTTACTTGCAACCCTGTCTCTACGAAATGCTATTGTAGACTTAATGAAGTCTTGAATCTTGACATGGTATCAGTGAAAACAGAATTGTAGATTTCGTTCTTCACACTTCTGTAATTGCCGGAAGGAAAGAGAGAACAAGAAGAAACTGAAAAGGGTATAATCAGTACTGACTGTTCTGTCCTCAAATGGGATCAGAGGCCATACACAGAGGATGAGATTTCCCATGAGCGAACAAGTCCATTAGCATCAATGAAAATATTAAAAATCTTCACTGGTATCTCTTCCTTTCCCTTTTAGATTTTTAACACAAACTGACACTGGAGCCTTTGTGTCCACAGAAAGACAATACCTGACCATGACTTCATGTAGTCCAGGATAGCAGGTATGTTTCCAACTTGATGGAGATTGGGGTCAGGAAGAAAAAAAGGGAAAATATTAATGAAAAAGACAGAAAAGACCCAAAAAAAGTAAGAAAATTTCACAAAAGATGTAAAATACCAAAACTAGGCGTCAAGAGCTAAATACGCAAGAGAAGGCAAAATGAAAATGTATTAAAACAACTCTAGAAGTACAATTAAGTGATTCCTATTGTTAAAAGTCATAAAATTGTAACAATTATAAAAAGACATTTTGCCAAACTTCCAGAAACTATTTATGAGAAAGCATTTTATCAATAACATAGGATGCATACCATTGATTTTTTTATCTTAAACTATGTCTATTGATGTCTTGAAATGCAACCTATACATCAAAAATTAACTAATGAATTATTTTCTGAGCAATAGAAATTCTTAATAATGGAAAAGTGAAATAGAATATTCTATTTAAATTACTAACTACTTCTTTTTGAAAATGTATATAAATAGTAATTTAACATTATAGTTTTAACTTAACTTACCATTAAATCATTTGTTAGTAATGTTTCATTGCAGGTAAAAACTTTTGCATCCACATAATAGTCTGCATCAATAAATACAATATCTGGACCAAGTAATAGCACATCAACACTGTTATTTGTGTCATCAATATGCACAGAAAATGTTTTCTTCTCTCCTTTCATTCCTAAAATATTTGTACCCACCACAGATAATTCATATTCCATTCCCGGTCGGAACTGAAATGCATTTTTTATTCATAAGCTTTCAGAAATTAATTAAAATGGTCAACAAATTAAAGTAAAGCTAAGTTACATATACAACTAAGTGAAAAAAATAAAATGTTTCCATTCTTTGTCTTTTTAGTTCAGAGTTTAATGATTTTATATCATTTCATCAGGAGATTATTTTGCACAAGGCGAATATTTATTTTTTTATTCATTCAATATATTCACATTCTTATAATATATTCATACATCTCCTCATTATCACCTTTCTGAATAACATTCAGAATTGTAAACCGAGGATTTATCCTCACCTCAAGGTGAAAACCTTCGACAGTCGACCAAATGTTGAATGGAACGACTCAAGTGGTCCAATGTGGCCAATCAAGTTAAGAATTAATAATAATAATAATAATAATAATAATAATAATTAATAATAATAATAATAATAATAATAATAATACCCCGTGTGGTGTCGGGGATGTTTAGTAGGAATAGCACCACGGGACTCCCCCTGTCGTAGAAGGCGACTAATCTGAGCAAGCTGTCCGCTGTCACTACCCTAAACATTCCGTCATTCCCACAAAGTCTGTGTTCATTGCTTCCACTTACTTGTGGCACACATCTGTTTTCTGTCCTGTTAGGCAATCTCGATATCGGCCAAACTCTTGTGTTTTCCGCCCCGACGCGCCATAGGGTTGCGCGGGCTTAGTGGAGTCGTTTCCATTCTACCTTTCTATTCTAACCTTCGGTCTTCTCTGTTCCCCGCTTGTTCCTTTCCATTTTTCCTTAAGCTGCGGTAGCCCTCAAAAACGCTAGGGGAAGCGTTGACCCTGAAGAAAAAACCCAAGCATGGAGGATTTTCTGTCAGGTCGGACAGTTACGGTGCAGGGATCGGAAGCCCCAGACCGGCGCGGTCGGTGTTACTTGCACTGACCTTGCCTTCTTCATTAATCTTTGCCCTGCCACCTTGTCTACCGCCCACCTTCCGTCGCCAGCAGGCCACTGGTTTTCGTCACCCAGTCGACTGCAATTGCCAAGGGGTGCGGAGATCACTCTCGGGCCACCACACTTGGCAGAATAGTGCTCGATGGATAGCAAGCTTCGCGGGGACTTTCGTATGGAAAGTCTGCGAAAACTAGGGTAGGGGAACCCTTAAAAACCCTCGTCCAGAAAAAAAAAAAAAAAAGCCCGGGAGTTCAATGCAAAAGAATGGAAAGTTGGGAAAATCACCAAAACTATGATGGACCGTGTCGGAAGAAACAACCGCTACAGTACTAAAGTACCTTACAGTTTAAAAGAACTTGAAGGAAATCGATTAAAGTGAGGCCCGTTTAGTATAATAGAGAGGCAGTATTAGGCACCTGCGCTGGATTCTGCCGCTAAAAGAGCATACAGGAAACTTCATCTGGACTCTTGGTTAGAAACAGTTATATGACAATTCAAGGGTAAAAAATATACTAGAATTGAAGAAAATAGGCACTATTAGATGTTGAAGTAAGATTGCTCCACGACACTGAATACCTGCAAAGCGGTTGTTGGTAGTTTGCAGTGACTTACTAAAAACTCCAGTGAAGAGGAAAATAGTTCAAAGAACTAGCCTTTCTCAGGGAGTCATTGCCTGTCGTTACGGCTACAATAGGCGGGAGATGGACATATAAATTCCTTCAGCGGTTCCCATTGTCCTGGGACGTTCAAGCCGTTGTACGTTTTACCAGAGGAAGTGGTAAAGCCAGGGCATTCATCGTCTAACCGTACGAATGTTCATTTCCTTCAGACAATGCAGTGTTTTCATGTTACGATTTGGACCCCAGCATCTTAGTATATGTGCGAAGAATTGAACAGTATGTCTATTTGTGTAAGCCATTTCATAGTGAAAAGATCCATGCCTATGATCCTATCAATGCATTAATTGGCAGTGGACAGACATTCATCGAGTCAAGAGACTGCCCTATATATTAACAGGAGGCAGCAATTCAACAAGTTTTTAAAGCCAGACAAAAAATCTCTCCC